AAAGTACCTCAGTTGGATGGCATCTGCTGGTACCCCATTGATCTTGATTCCATCGATGAGCTCGTGGAATCGCCTGAGATATGAACGGGGGCACTCTCCCTCTTTACCACGGAACACCACTGAACCGCGCAGCATGGTGATCACTGAGGTGCTCACCTCAAAATTGTTGGCTGGGACATGAGGGTGTTGAATGGGTGACCTCATGTCCGCAGCCCTAGCGGTCCAGTAGGATCCCATGGTCTGCTCCTCAGGGATCACATCACGGTTCTCTGGATCAGCCATCTCTTCTTCTTCTTCTTCTTCTTCTTCTTCTTCTTCTTCTTCTTCTTCTTCTTCTTCTTCTTCTTCTTCTAACTGCAGCTGTGATAGCTCCTCCTCCGCAGCCAGTCGCGCCTTTAGAGCCCGCTTGAAGTTCCTGCAAGCCCGCTAGAGTAACAAATTCTCACATTTCCCCAATAACCTAGAGGTTCCACGGCAACGGCGCCAAAAACTTGACACGCCAAAACACAACACCAAACTGCGACCAAGTGTAATCGCAGTCCGGGAATGCAGTAACAGCCAAGTTCTATTATCAACCCGGGGTCTAGATCTATTGCTTACTCCGTGATGATTTATTATCTAGCTAACTAATTCGAGTGATTGTTGTTTAAAGCAAAAGCAGTAAGAAAGCAGGAAATGGTTCGGTTTTCAAAAGCAGGAAAGAGTCACTCGGGAATGAGTCCCCCTAGCCCCTTAGTTAGGTTCAATTGTAATTCCCCTGGGTTGATTCACTGTTGATTAGACTGCGGAAGATCCGACAGTAGCTTGGAATCTCTTAAGCTGACCAAGCCCTCTCAGTCTAACTACCCGGCAGACGACTAGTCTTCACCGGGATAGAAAGCTGAAGCAATAAGCACAGAACTCCACTACTGGAATTGAATTCCATTACAAAGCAGTAAACTGGCTAACTCTCGTATAGCCAATCTCCTACTATCGAATGAAGAGGCTCTAACAACCTAATCAGATTCTATCTATCTCAGGTTGCAGCAGAAATCGAGAAAAGCTTATCAGACTTCAATCAATTCAATAAACATGCATCATTCGATTAAAATCAAACAGTATAATCATCCCAAGTCATTACAATCAAATCCATAACACAAGGAACTAGGGTTCTTCATACCCAAGTGAGAGAAGGGTTCTACTCCATAGAGAGAGAAGAGAAAACAGTAATTGGATTAGTCATACTCATAATGATGAGGAAAATCTACTCCGGGATGATGATTTCCACTCCTATGACGATCTCCAGGCTCGATTCGATGAAACCAGCTCCAAGATAGCTTCTAGGATGTGTTCTTCGTAGTTTCTCTCTCTAGGGCTCTGTTTTTGCTCTGAAAATCCGATTCTCTCACTTTTGGCTCGAAATTGGCTCAAAAACCAGAGTTTCCCGACTCACACGAGCAGGCCACATGGCCGTATGGCTCACCCAAGTGGCCGTGCGAGTCAAAACGCAGCGTATGGATTAGTTCGATCTTCAGGCTTCTCACACGGCCAGGGTTGCACGGCCGTGTGGATTTCATGGGTTGTCCGTGTTTGGCCTCGGCAAAAATCACACGGCCACCTTGCTCACTTGCACGGCCGTGTGAAAGCTACTTGTGCCCGTGTTTGCTCTCGGTGGAAATCACACGGCCACCTTGCTCACTTGCACGGCCGTGTGATGCCCCGGTCTGCCCGTGCGGCTTCCTTGAAACCTCGTCATTCGTCCGATCTTCGTCCAATCGACCCCAGACTCGCTCCCAAGCCTCCATTCACGTACTAGGACCTGAAATATCACAAACAAGCACAACCTAGCGTGAAATCGGCCTAAAACACGAGAATCAACACCTCAAACGGTGTAAGAACGGGGGTAAAAACATGTGTAAATAACGGTCTATCAGCCATCTATGTTTATTTTTCTTACCCTTCATTTCATTAACAATTTACAAATAGGTACTTGTATATTTTGCATATAACAAATAAGCTTGATGGTGTGGGTATGGGTATGGGTATGGGGCGGGGAGACCTAAAACCAAACTCGCCCCATACCCATCAGATTCTTTGCGGGTTTTACCCATACCTGCCCCATACCCAGTCAAAGCGGGGATTCCCTGCATTGACTGGATCGGAGACGGTCGGGTACCAGCGACGGTGGGTATGATTGTCATCCCTACTTATAGTAGCAACAAGGGACTCTCCCTCCTTACACAACCCTTTCCTCCCAACTAACCTCACTCCAAACTTGTCACTCAACGATTCGAGCTGCTCCTTATCATCATCATCACCACCATCAATCATCTCAGCTTAGTCGCTTTTCCCCTCGAAATCAACCCATACAAACTAACCAAATCAATTCCTGATTCCCCTCCCAACAAATGGCCGAATAGTCTCGAACTAAACTGCAGCTTCACCAGCAACAAGTGCTATCAAGAGTGGAAGCTCGGGCACAAACTCGATCACTTCCTTCTTCAGCACGCATAAAGGAACCGTGCATCACTGCGAAATTCTTGCCCATTACTATAGACAGGGAGCCATCAACACCATATCGAATGCTCTCCACTACTTGGTTGTAGAATATGCTCTCCACGATATTAAATTAATTTTTATCGGGGTTGTAGAAAATTGGAAGTTTTTTCGCAAGTTCCTTAACGAATGTCTCGTTGCCACCAGGTATGAAGCAGTACTGATCCCCACCCATCTGGTACGGATCATCCTGATCCCCAATTCCCAATACATGCGATTTGGAAAAATTGCCATTTTGCGTGTCCTCCTTAATTTTTAATAATGACAAATATAACATTTTCTTTATAAATTCACAATAATTTAGTCTTTTTTTATAAAAGATAATCATTGTATTGATCAGAAAAAATAGGCAATTACATTATGAAATTTAACCAGGCCACAAATCAAAGAAACGACTCGTAGTCGGGTACAAGTGAAGGGCTTTTCTAGCCACCAAGTGGACTACCCTATTACTATGATGACCTTCGAATTGCACACTCAGACCACCATGAAGCGCAAGATAACGCAAAACCTCCTCCAGAAGGACTCCTATTCTACTATCCCTGGTATTCGCCAGATTGATTTTATCAATGATTACCTTGGCGTCACCATCAAACCTCACACTCGTGAACCCGTTCGCCAAGCAGCAGAGAACAGCCTCCCGGAGGACCATCATCTCCACGACCATAGGGTCATCAATCCCCACAATAATTGTAGTCAATCCATTGAAATTGAAAAATCTTCAAAGTGAATTGTTTCTATTGACTTAAATTATTGTTGGCACCGAAAAGGAAAGACCGAAAGAGCATAATAGTCATGACAGTGGCATGTCGGCCGATAAAACCATATTCAACTGATATCGTTCATAAAACCGGCCAAAATGTCTCTGACATTACTGATATGATTGATTTTTTTAGCTTTAAATAAAATGGCACAGTGTGGCACATTTTGTCATAATCGGATAGCTCTATTAGTATTATCTTGTTCGCTTTGGGCCAAGCCCGCTTGGATTTACTTTTGGGTATCCTCCCCAAAAGGTCTCATACTAATGAGTTTGGTGGACACTTATCAGTCTAGTTATTCTGCTAACTTGAAGATTCGTTAGTATATACTCACTAATATCCAAAATGTATGAACTAATATCCAAGTCTGCTAAGTATCTAGATAGCACAGACTAGTATTCAAAACATCACAAACTAGTATCCAAATAGCAGATACCAACTAATATCCACAATCAACCACTTAGTATTTAATATGGATACACTTATGTGTTATCTGGATACTAATTATGTGCTGTTTGGATACTATTTTGTGTTGCCTATATATTAGTTTGTGAATTTGGGATAATAGTTTATTCATGGTGGATATCAGTTAGCAAACTTTGAATACTAGTCTGTGCTTTCTAGATACTTTAGTACTTGGATATTAGTTCATATATTTTGGATATCAGTTAGTATCTGCTAACGAATCTTCAAGTTAGCAGATTAACTTTCCCCTTATATACAAGAGTCTCTTCACTTGTATTACTGATGTGGTGTTATTTGTTGGATAAAGTATGGATGTTTAGATGTTTATGTTATTTGTTGGGTTCGAATAATAAACGATTGGATGTTAGCGCTAAATCTTGTATTTAAATATGATGATTTTTATTTTATTTGGAATGTTATGCTTTATTTAAATATGAATGTATATTTTAGAGAAATTTTATTCAAATATGTTATATATATGCCTAAATTTATTCAGTGTTAATGATTTCCAACTTTCGTACATGTTCTGCTAAAATCCGCCAAACCGACATAACAATATAAACCGGTTTGACAACTTTGCGAAAGAGCAAGCTGGGGAGAGTTAGGATGGGAGCATGATTGTTACGTCGACTAGTTCAACGGGTCTCGGTCACGAAACGGACAAGAAAGGGTTCGGTATTAAGCCTTGGTCAAATCCGATCAACATCAAGAATACTGATAAGTTAGGACACAAACCGGATTTCAGTATTTCACACATATCCTTCAAAAGTAAACACCCTTCATGGAATTTGAATTAAGTACCTCGTGTTCAATAGTTCAATTATATATCAATAAATTACAGGAAACTTTATTATACATATTAATCTTATATATTATATACTAATGCTAAATTTACATAAATAATTGTAAACATTACTAGAATTTATTTTATACACGTATATTTTTACATATATAATTGCTTACTATAAGAGTATCAGTTACCATTTCCTAACTATAAATTATTTTGCTTGAGTTTATTCTTTTAATTGCTTCTTCCTGATCAATTTATTTTATTTTGAATGAACGAACTCTTTTAATTAATTTTTTTAACCAATTTATTTGGTATTTATTTTTCTAATGTATCTGATATTTGATTAACCCTCCTTATACAACGGTCAAACCATTTCACTTGTAAAAAATCGGCTAACCGGCATAAACCGGTTTGATAACCTTGGGTGGGAGAAGGTCCACTCCTCACTCCACGGGAACACCAGCAGAGGTCGCGAAAACCAATCTAAACTCTTTTCAACCTCCGTGTCTGTTCCTCTCCTCCCTCTGTCTTCGTCCGTCTCTTCCTCCTTCCGCCGTCGACCTCGATCTCCGGCGCTCCCTCCTGCGCAATTCTCTCCGCCCTTCGCTCACCAAGAACAACCAGAGCGAGAAATTCCGGAGGGAAACAACGAAGGGAAAAAGGGAAAAGGCGCGGGAGGTTAACGATGATCACGAGATCGAATCTAGCGGAGCAGTTGAGGGAGTACCAGATTCGATCCAAGCATGATTGGGCCTCCGTTTCCTTCTTCTCCTCCACTTCTAATAATTTCAGTCACTCGAGGTAATTTCCTCTCTTGATTCCCCGTCGCTTACCGCCATTTCTTTGTTTGTTCTTGAACTTTGCTTCGGCTTGCCGTATGAGTTTCGGGGGCGGTAAAGCACTGAATTTCGTGGTTTCCGCCTGATTTGATTAGATCAGCTTGCCTAGGCTGCGAAATTGGACTTTTCCGCAGGGAGTTCCGGACTGTAATTTATGTAGCTAGGGTATCTATGGAAGGGTGGAAGCTTCTGTTTTGTATTACGAGAATAAATTCAGTCTGTGTGATGTGATCCTCTCCCATTGTGTTTGCGTCTTCCAATGGATGTCAATTAGAAACTACGAAAGTGACTGTTGTATGTTGGTGATTCTACGATCTTCTCCCTGATGAAGTGAAGGTTAAGAAAGACTAGAACTTTGGGGTTAGTCATTCTCTAAGTAGTCAATATGTGCCTTTCGTCGTTGATATCATTCAAGAAGTGTGTTTTGCTCAGCCCTTTTCTTGCTCTGTGGATTAGATGTGTTCATTGTTGAGTTGTCGATATGTTGGCATTCGGAACCCTTGAATTCCAGGTTTTCCAGTATACGATGGAATGCGGTTAGGGAATAGTATGACAGATGGTTTTCTTGATTTGGGAAAATGAAGTTTTTGTGAACATTTATCTAGGAAATAGTAGTGAGTGGTGAGCTTGAGCATATGAAACCTCTGCAGATTCCATTTCTGTCTGCACTTGCTTATGGCCCGTGACATGGAGATAGTTCTGTTAGCACTATAAAATGATTGTCTTATCATTCCTTGGTTACATTCATGTTTTCGACTTGTTATTCTGTTTTCTTACAAGGGAATGACTGCTGATTCTGGTTGTACCCTTCTTGTGCAGGGTTGATGTTGTCATATTCGTCATATGGGAACTCGTTGTTCTAGCCTTCCTGGTCTTCTCGGCCGTATCTTTATACTTTAGGCACATGCGACTCGCCTTCATCTTAGTCTGCCTCACGTTAATATTGGTGCTGTGCATGAAAGTAACGAAGCAAGTTAGGCTAGCAAGGAAGAAGAAACGAAGAATGCTTCTGCCTCTATCCATGTAAAAGACCTAAACAGAAGTAATAACTCTTCTTGTTATGGGAGTTATTAGACAAAACAAAGTTTGTTCTGTAGAGCTTGTAAAACTGCTGGTCTTTGCTTCCCAGCAATCTCTCTCTATAGGTTTATTGGTGTTGGATTCTACACAATTTTCACAAGCGAAAAGCCAAGCCGGTGAATTCAACAAATGCTGGTTCTCAGAGTAACTCGTCATGGAAATTCGGCAAGCATCACTTGATTTGAGGTACTCTTTTTTCTTTCATGGTGCTCAGGGTTTAACATTTGTTGACGGTTCTCGGGAGTTTGCAAGTAGTAGTAGATATAACTTGAAGGGAGACGCAGAAATTTTACACAGAGATTAATCTTCTTTACTGAATGGATGTGTAATTCTGCTCAGAACACGGGTGTCATGTTTTTGTTTACAAGAACTGATGAACAACTACTGTAAAGAGGAATACTCAAGGGCCAGAATGTGGGTTTTCAAGTTTTCACCATGAATACAATTGGGGAAATGGTTGTGCTTACTTCCCCTTTCTTTACCTCGAGCTAGCAACGAAGACTATGGTTACGCATTACTTTTTCTACGTTGAGTGAGTAAAGACCTCCAGAACCCAGTTCAGCCATCAGCTCCCACTGTATCATCAAAATCCACATGAAACATGGATATGCCAAGGTGATCGGCAGGACGATCCCTCCTACCAGTCCGGCAAAGCTTGGCAGGAATGGGAGAGCCACCGTGATGAAGCACATCAGGCATCCGAAGAAGAGTCGGAGCACTGACTAAAGCCACCGCAGGCATGGTTTGTTCATCTTGCTCGAGAATCTTAGCTCTAGGTTGTCGAATGCTGGCATTTTGTAAGTCTGGAAGGAGCTGAGGCAGTGATCAGATAAGCAAACTTGTTGAACCAAGTATTAACAATGGCTGTGCTTTTCTTCTACCTTGAGGCAGTTGATCCACAAACTGGATTAATCTCAATGAACTCCGTAATTATAATTAGTTACCTGTATTTCCAGCACGAGATTATGCCGTTTGAAGGCCAAACCCACGATCCTAACACCATTTAGAACGTCGCAAATCCCATCAATAGCTCCATCGATCCTTCCTAAAACATGGCGAGGGTCAGCAGGTTCTTCTTTAGAGGTACATTTTTGGGAAGAAGGCCAGTAGGGCTGTCATTTCGGTTGCCGGTTAGCGGCTAACCGGCCGGTCTAACCGTTAACCGCCGGTTAGCGGCTAACCGGAAACCGAAAAAAATTGGCCACGGTCGGTTGTCGGAGGCGCTCCGTGGTTAGGCGGTTAGCCGAAAAACCGACGCCGGTTAAACCGGCTAACCGACGCTAACCGACAAGCCAAAATAAAACACCCCATCCCCAACCCTAGCAGCCCCCATCCCGCAAATCCCCAGCCGCCTCCAGCCCTCTGCATCCCCGATAAGTCTTCCAAATCTTTGGAGGCGCTGAGCTTGTTCTCCACGATCATCTCCACCATCGACTCCCTGAAATCCGTCTGTGGATCGAACGATGATTTCACCACCGCCAACCACCCGGAAAGGCTCTTCTTTCTCGAAGACGACCTTGAAGAAGAAGAAGTCGAGGTTGATGAAGAGACGCTCTTCCTGCCCTGCCCTTGAATGTTTCTCCTGTACCCGATTCGCGGAATCGGAGGTGAGGGTGAGATCTGGGGTGAAGATCCGAGGGTGAAGATCTGGGAAACATAATCGGAGGTGTGGGGGAGGGAAGGGTAGCAGAGGGAGACGGCGGAGCCGGAGGATTTGACGAGGGAAGGGTAGCAGAGGGAGACGGCTTGTCGCCATTGTTGAGGGTGAAGTTCTTGAAGAAGGAGTTGGTGGGGAGAGGGGAAGAGAGGAGGGAAGGGGAGAAGAAGGCAGAAGGGTCGGGGAGGAAAGAAGAAGAAGAGAGGAGATAAGGTTTGGTGGGTGTGGTGCAGATTTTTTGTATTCTTTATTTTTTTTTTTTTTTTTTTTGTAAAGAAAATGTAGTTTTCCGGTTGGCCGGCTAACCGAGCCTAAAACCGAAACCGACCGGTCGGTTGGTCGGCTAACCGGACCTCTCTCACGGTCGGTGGTCGGCAGCTGTAGAGGGTTGTTCGGTTTAACCGATAACCGGTTTTTCGGTTTTCGGTTAAACCGAAACCGACCGACTGCCACCCCTAAAGGCCAGCAGCTTCCCCAGCTTCTCACCAAAAGCAGCCATGGATAATCCGAGGTATCTGCTGTATCACACCCCAAAATCCGATTCATGCGGCTGGATCAACAGCCACATGGTGGAGTGGATGGCAAAAATATCCGTAACAGTGGATATCCGCCGAATCCGGCCTAGTCGGGTAGGGTAAAACCCGAACCCGAATGACATTTAGTGGGTACGGGTAAAACCCGAACCCAAATATTGCGGGTAATGGGTGGGCATGGAATCCTCACTATCCGACCCGAACCCGCCCAATTATACATATGCATATGTATTTTGTCTAGAAATAATCATTATTTTTCTCTAACATATTTTAAATTTAGCATATAAATATAACATTTTCATGAAATTGTGTTGTTTTAGTTAATTTTCTTCATTCTAGTGAATTCTTGTAGTACTTTTTCTCTTACTTAATATAAGAATAAGTGTGAATGTTAACATATTGATTGGAGTTATGAAGAGAAATTAATATCCATGGATAACCGTGGATACCCGAAACCCGAACGAGTATGGGCATGGTTTTGATTTTCTACCCGTTTCACATGTGGGTATGGATATGGGTAAAACCCGAAGTACTTCGGGTAGGGTAACGGACATACACTATCCGCCCCGACCCGACCCATTGCCATCCCTAGTTGCCACACAAAAACAACACACAGACACAAGATTCCCCATATCTTGCTTTCATAATCAGACAATCAAAGAATAGGTGCGAGTAATGGTTTTGTTGGATCCGTCATGAGTTGAAATGAATTATTGTTTTTTAAGAGGATACATGGTTGTTATCTAGTTAGTTGCTACAACTTAAAACCCACTGACATGTCCAGATTCTGTGGGTTGGGTAGAGTCTGGTCAACATAGAGTTGAGTCACTTTTTTTTCCGTTGAATACCCGAGTCACTTTTTCGCCTTGTGACCCTTGACAAAAATTAGTAATGTGGAATTTCTCATACCAACACATTGGATTTGTTTATAAAGTTTGAAAAGTTTAGATACTAAATTATAAAAAAAAAATTGGGTACCAAAATTTCATTTTACCATCAAAATTTATGGACTTATTTGTAAAAAAAAATAAAATATAGGTTCTCAATTGTAAGGAAAAACAAATTTGAATATCAAAATATAATTTATAAAAAAATTAGTGGTTTGATTAGGGCAGACCCACACCCCGGCCCTCCTCGATCCCCCCGACCCTAAGGAGTCGGACAGGGTCAAAAGGAAACAGAAACGGGACAAGTCATTTATATATCTTAATCCTTCAGATATGGGTCAATCAGGGTCAGAGGAGGGCTATTGATGACGAATTAAGATGAAGTTGTGTTCGATCTATATAAACTACTAATTAGGGTCTATACTCGCTATATTACATGCTCTATCATTATGTTGATTTTTTGGCATGTTGATAAAAACAATCTGAGCGGGACTTCTCAGCAAACTTGAACATAATCACTATTACATTAAGGATGGAAGTTTGGTTTGTGGACAACCCACACCACAAACCTCACACATTGTGGTTAGTCACATTTACAATTTGTGGGTAGTGGATTGGGTGTGGTTAGCAAAATCTTATAGTTAGTAGTTAACCACTAATTACAGTGATTAACCCACTATATCCATGTTAGTATAACCAAGTTTTCTTCTTTACATTTAAGTCCATCATGCTTATTGTTAATATTTTATGATATAAGGATTAAGGAGTAATGACTAAATTCATAAAAGGCTAAAATAACTTAATGTCAAAATGCAAACTTATAGGGTGTGCCGTGTAAGATTAATTTACATTTTGTAAAGTAAAAACTATAGTCTCTTAAAAAAAACAGCATAGGTTAACCAACGTACGTACGTTTGAGACTGAAAGGAAATTAACCACTAACCGCAGCGGTCGATGGGCTTCCTCTCCCTTGTGCCAGGAGAGTACGACGGAGGGTTGAGGTGGAATTACAAACTTCCATCACCAGCGGGATTGCGGTTACCGGTCATAGGTTTGCGGTTACCGTCTTATAGGAATTGAGAACTTCCATTGTCAGCGATTGGGGATTTGGAGATCGTCCGGGAGATGCAGTATTGAAGATAGATGCAGTGGGGGATTCTGCAGATTTACGTGCGGTGGAATTATGACATCGACGCGACGTACGGGGTTCTACTGATCGATGCAGCGGAGAGGGATTCTTCAGATAGTGCCGGCGTGCGGGATTCGGAGATCTACGCGGCAGGGGCTGCGGTGGCCGGTGGCGGTTTCTACAGATCGACATGGCAGTGGAGATTTCAAGTTGGACGCGGGGTTGTCGGGAATTTTGCTCGGAGTTTCACAAATAGGAAAAGGGATTCGGCCCTCCATGATTCAAACTTCCGGCCTGCCACTAGCCATGAATTGCATAGGCTTTCTTGTCCTGCTATGTTCATTCACTTTCACGCGCCACAGTGCGTTGTAGCAGTTCTCTGCCTAACGCCATCGTGCGTCCAGTCCCGCTTTGCCTCCATCCATACAATACTTTTGTAGTTTCCGTCTAACTTTTTGCAGGGGCTTCAGAATGGTTACAGCCTAGCGGACAACGTCTTTCCGACCATCGGGGAGGCTTTTTGACTGACGGCAAGGCAATTTCATTTTTAGGCTCTCTTATCCCGCTTACCAACTTCTTCGCCGCACCTAGCAACAACTCTTTTGGCGGGAATTAATGGCTTTGGCCAGCGGGGGAGAGGTGTCGGGTCTGCTTTTGTTGGGCGCGATCCTTTTGGCGTGCTTCTATGCGCAATGGGTAAGTTTTATGTAGGCATCCATGATTTTTTCTTGCAGAATTATTGGCATGGAGGGATGTCTTGGATTGGTGCATCACACATGGTTTTCTTTTGCTCAAATTGCATGGAATTCACACATAGTTATCCGGCGGCTCTTGGCGGGTGACTCTCATCATGTGACGGGAGGTGTGATCCTGGAAGATTATCATCGTTTGTCCAGATCCTTTGAGTTTTGTTCTTGCTTCCATGTTACTCGTCGAGTTGATAGAGCAGCCCATTAGTCGACTTCCGTCGTGGATTTATTCTTTTCTTTGACTATGTATCCGGGCTTTCATTTGGTTTTAACTATGTTAAAAAAAACTATAGTCTCTTTTTCTCTTCGACAGAAATGTAGAATACCAAAATCGGAAAGACAAAATCTCCACGTTGAGTAAGATATAGACAATTGCATCTCTATGAATAACACAACAGTATATCACTATAGTTGTTGTGAACCGTGAATTCGTTGGTGACGGCCACAACTCCGTGCCCGCATAGATGATTTGTTTTGCAGATAACCACACCCAACCCACACCAAACCGTGGGTAGTGGTTACCCACTAACCACTACGATGCGGATTGTGAGTAGCATAATTATAATTTGATGGATATGGTTAACCACTGGGATGGATAATCCAACCCTAATTACATTAGTTCTCCAAAATTATTTACCAATCTTTGTAAAACATAGAAGTTCAGTGGACAATGTGTTAGTATTTAGTAACCCAAAGCTTAGTAACCGTATATTTATAATCGAGGATAAGTTTTTTAGTATTTATTTTGACTCGCCCCCATGCATTTATTTACCTGGACCGAGGTTCTTTTACATTGTCCAGTGATTTGGGGGAAATTATTGATTATCGATAACAATTTGAATTAGGGGAAAATGAAATATAATATCAAAATGTCAAAATTTAGGATTAGATTTTACATTCTAGCTCCTCCAAGAGCGGGTTTTTATTATTATAAATAACCTGCATTATTCCATTAATATGAAATAGCATAGGAATCACTTTGTAACTGAGAAACTATAAAGATAAGATGTTTGGGTTGCCAAATTGTTGTATCCTCCCAATTACATGAAGTGTGGACCAAAATATGGCTGCTTGGTTATTGGTTCGGCCCGAGAACCTAATAGTAAACGAGTCAAACTCTTTCATACGCTTTGCTAGCTCGCCACATGCCACCCCTTCCTCTGTTATTCCAGTCTCTTCCTTTGCCACCTGTTGAACAACACGAAGACAGTCTGTCTCGATCTCTCTTTTCGATAAACCCCATTTCTCCGCCATTTCAATCCCAAACCAGATCTCCTTGATCTCTGCCATTTCGGGTTTCCATTGAACCCTAGTTCTTCGAACCGCTGCAAAACAAAAACTGCTGCTCTTGTACCTCACCACCACCCCAAAACCTGTTCCTTCTCCTTCCAAATAGGCGGCATCGACATTTAGCTTGAAATTTTCACCGGTCGTAGGTTCCCAACACGGAGATGGCATTGTCAATGACGATGCCGGAGGGGATTGGTGTTCCAGATACTCAGTAAGCCATCTGTAAGCTCGATTGATTATCTCGTATTCTTCCACCTTTTTCTTATTCAACATCTGGCTATTTCCCTCGTCCTTGATAAACCATAGGGAAACCAAAAATTGACCGATTGCATCATCAAGCTCCGATTCTGCAGCGATGCCATCCATTCTTCACAGGTAAGATCTGCTCCCTTCTCGAATAAGTGGTTTAACGAACTAGGACGCCAGACTCGTCGAACCCATCCGCAATCTTGAAATAAATGTATATGAGTTTCCCTCTGTCCGCAGACCGGACATTCGTCACACCCTTTCT